TTAATTATAATGGCTAATATTTTTGGATCTTTAAGCATTTTTGATCCAAAAACATCAGTGTTCTCGGTATTTAGTGAACGTTTAAAACTGGTATATGAATTTGGTTTAAAACTGGTGTATGAACAGGGTGGTCCGAATTGTAGTCCGGAAACTTCGGCAGCATATTCTGCAGATAAAAATAGGTAAAAAAATTCGTATAAATGTAAGTCCTAAAATGCTTAGTTTCGGAGATACAGGGTGTAGAAGTTTCATTTTTATTTCGATTTTTTCTAAATAATTTCTGAAGTAACGTCAATATTTAGATGAAAATTGGTGTCTGAGAGCTTTTTGACATGAGAAATTTGATTCTGATGTCAATATGACTCCTACTGGTAGAGGGCGCCACCTACTTGTGTTTAAACTGTTTTGAAGCGTAATAACTTTTTGTCCGTACCTGTATAAAACTACCGAGGGAAAAATATAAATCTCTGTGATTTTTTACGTAAAAAATATCTCTTTGTAAAAACCGCTAAGAGTAACGGTTTTCAAGATATTTAGAATGGAAATAGTGAATACATGCCATTATTGACGAAAAATAAACACGTTGAGTAGATAGTTATTTCACTGAAATAATAAATTTGTGAAATTTTTATTTTTTTAAATTAATCATATTTTTTCTGCAAAAAAATGATGACAGTTTTTGTTCAACTTTTGGTACAATAATATTTCAAATTTATGATCTCAGTATAATAACTATTTAGTCAACATGTTTAATTTGTCAGTGATGACAGATATTGATAATTTCGATTCCAAATATCTCGAAAATCATTACTCGTAACGATTTTTACCAAGAGACTTCTTTTGCGTAAAAAGCATCGTAAATGAATATTTTTTACTCAGTAGTTTTATACAGGTACGGACGAAAAGTTATTACTCTTCAAACCAGTTAAAAAATATGTGGGTGGCACCCTCTACTAGTCGGAATCATATTGACATCAAAATCAAATTTCTCATGTCAAAAAACTCCCAGACGCTAATTTTAATACAAATATTAACGTTATTGCAGAAATTATTTAGAAAAAATCGAAATAAAAATGAAACTTCTACACCCTGTATCTCCGAAACTAAGCATTTTTAGACATACATCTATACGAACATTTTTACTTATTTTAATCTGCAGAATATGCTGCCGAAGTTTCCGGAATACAGTTCGGACCACCCTGTATATGCTTCGTCTCCAATGAATTCTTCGTCGTCGACATCTTAATTTTTTTTTTGCCAGAAAAGACTGGTTCAAATAATGATAAGACTCAAAAAAAATAAGATTAGTACAGAACATGATACTATAATATCACGAAGATTGATGAGATCCAGTTAACTCGGATAAGTCATAACAAACAAGGGGGTGTGATGAAGGAATGGTTTGGCAAAACGTCTTGGTGTATTCTGGTGAATTATTGTTTTATTTTGCTGTTGAAGCAACAAAGGTTCCAACCCCAAATTTTAATCTAAAAATTTATAAAAAAAATTTTCTTACAAATATTCTCAAATGTATTTAATTTAGATACTTATGTTGCCATATTATCAACAAATTATGTTTTTTAACTAAGAAATAAAAGAAATTCCAACAATTTTTTTTCTTTTCGCGAAAAAAAAACTCAGAATCGTGTTTCTGGGGTTGAAATATACTACCCCTAAAATATTTGTACTTAAAAACTCACCCTGTATAATCTAGTGACATTATATCGGCTGATCGATAGTGAACGGTTTAGGGGGCCCATATTCCCTAATTTTGGGGATTACCGGACCCCCCAAAGAGTACTTTTTCTCGGACGAGACGTTTCTAGGAGAATCAGCGATGGCTCAAATGTATGTTATTGTATAGTTATTGTATAATGGATACCCTCTTACATGTAATTTTTTAGAATAGTTTATAATATCTTAATGCGTTTTAATGTCAAAATGTATTACGTGCACGTAACTTAACCTATATTTTTTATTAAACTAATATTCGAATCGTTTTTATTGTTTCTTGGCTTTAGTTGTCATTTAAAATAAATGCCACATCATTAATGTCACTTTTTCCCTTTATAGGATGGTGGTACTAGATGCCAAACCCGAAGTGTTGTTTCTGGACTTTGCACATTTAGCCAAAATAAAATGTATATTTTACTGTAAATGTCCGAAATGCGGTAAAACCTAGGATAAGCGCGCTAAACCTAGGATTTACCAAAAGCATGTGGTAAAAGCCCGAAAACTATTTATTTTGCTTCCATTTTGGACTTTTACCAGACCTAAACAGTAAATCTTAGGATTTACCACACCGCATTGGTAAAAGTACGAATAAGCAAGTGGTAGTAAAAACCAACCAACCCCGCCAAATAACCACCTAACCAATGCATTAGCACCCTTCAAATAACCAGGCTAACCAATGCATTAACACCCTCCAAATAACCACCTAACCAATGCATTAACACTCTTTAAATAACCAGGTAAACCTAATTAGTTAATGCTTTTGGTAAATCCTATAGATTTACCGCGCTTATCCTAGGTTTTACCGCATTTCGGACATTTACAGTAACAAATATCAGACTATCCAAAAAAATCCTTTATGGGTATTTCGCCACTGCACTGCAAGAAAAATCTACAAAATAAAATAGTTATTTTTTGTAACACTTCTGCGTTAAACCTAAACGGACGCTGCTTGTCAGAAGTTGAGTTTACAGTTATAAAAATTTGCCTAACAAAGAAAAAAAATTCTTAACGTTTCGGAAAGTTTTCTCTTTCCGTCGTCGGAAGGAAAAAAATATAAAGAATCAAGAAAAAAACTATTTCAAATATTTAAATTGAACTATTCGAGAACACTTCACTTTTTAAAACAGATACGTCTACAAGAAGTAGTTGACGTTCTGTTAAAATGACATTATATTTTTTAGTTAAACTTCAAAATTAACAATTACTACCTGATAACAATTACTTAATAAGGTAAAACTTTCTGTATGATTATTTTTAAATTTTACGTATGTTATGTTTATTTATGTTATGTTCTTTAAAATCAAAGAAGCGATTGCCATACATTACTAACATCTAAAGATGCATGAGCAATACATTTATTTTTATTAGATTGAATTAAAAAAGCCTCTTTTATTTTTTTTAGAGACTATCGCTTCTTTCATTATAATTTTGGCGTTATTGAAATTTATTCTGTGCCCTGTGTCCCATGAATGCTGACAAATCTTAGATTTGTGAAAATCTCCCTTTCTTAAATAATCTTTATGTTCTTTAATTCTAACATTTAAGGGTCTAGATGTTTCACCAATGTTAAATTTATCGCATTCACAGGGTATTTGGTATATTACATTTTTTGTTTGTTGTTCTGTATTTATTGGTTTAGTATGTGATAAAATGGATCTAAGTGTATTTTGTGTTTTGAAAGATTTTCGTATGTTATATTGTTTTCCTATCCTTCTTATTTTTTCCGAAACGCCTCGTATGTATGGAATTGTAAGTTGTATATATTGTGTATTGGTATCATTGTGTCTATGATTTGGGGTTTGTATGTATTGCTCATGCATCTGTAGATGTTAGTAATGTATGGCAATCGCTTCTTTGATTTTAAAGAACATAACAAAAATAAACATAACAAACGTAAAATTTAAAAATAATCATACAGAAAGTTTGGGCTTTTTGGTTTTACCTTATTCAGTAATAATTGTTATCAGGTAGTAATTGTTAATTTTATATAATGTCATTTTAACAGAACGTCAACGATTTCTTGTAGACGTATCTGTTTTAAAAAGTAAAGTGTTCTCGAATCGTTCAATTTAAATATTTTAAATATTTTTTTTCTTGATTCTTCATATTTTTTTGCTTCCGACGACGGAAAGAGAAAACTTTCCGAAACGTTAAGAATTATTTTTCTTTGTTAGGCAAATTTTTATAACTGTAAACACAGCTTCTTTCACAACTGGTTTAACGCTGAAGTGTTTACAAAAAATAACTATTTTATTTTGTAGATTTTTCTAGCAGTGCAGTGGCGAAATACCCAAAAAGAATTTTTTTGGATAGATGAATTCGCCACATAGGTATAGACATTTTTTACAAATATAAGACTGATACGTTACAAAAATCGATATCGTGAAACGATAATCGTTAAAATTTCAATGCCTAAGTAAACAAAAACAGATATGTTTTTGTATATCGACATCCGCATACCGACATATACTACTAGAGTAGCTGTAAAATATCGACATCACACGATAGGTAAATAATGGATTTTAGTACTACAGAAAAATAATGTCAAAAGGTACTGGTTTAAGAAAATAGGATTAAAGTTAATTAATCAATCTTTAAGGCATAAGATTTGGTAAGTGTTATTATTAATAAAATAATTTGGTAAGTGTTTTATTTATGTTGTTTTATTTATTCCTGTGGAATATTACAAATTTGTATTTGTACATATATTATATTGATAAAGATAATAATAAATGCGATTGTTTTGATGCGATTTTGACGCGAAGATAATAATAAATGCGAAGTTTCTTGAAGCTTGATAGTAAGAAATAATTATTTTTTATGTTTTTTTGGTATATGGTGTTTTGTTCTTGTTTGTTATTATTAACACATACCGTTTTTTTAATAAAATAACTCGATTACATTTTTTCAGTTTTATGCAGTTTTTTTTTCACAATATTTTGAAGTAATCACTTGGCAGTCAGATTTTAAATATATTAATTTCCTGCTATGCGTTCCAGTTGTACCAACTTATTTCTTTGTAAAATAAAATAAACTACTTTGAAATTAAAATGACAGACACATCTATCACTGTCAAGGATCTTGTCGTTGGACAGACTATATATTAATTTTCTGCTATGTGTTCCAATTGTACCCACTTATTTCTATGTAAAATAAAATAAACGGCTTTGAAAATAAAATAGCAGACACATCTATCACTGTCCAGGATCTTATCGTTGGTCAGACTATACAATTTTAAGCTCACAGTCCTTCTTTTCGGCACTCACCTTCAAGCACAACGAAAACTCCTTTTTGCCGCATTCGCGCAGAAACTCGAACGCAGCCTTGTATATCCTTAACTCCTCTTTGGAACCGTCGTCTTCTTCACCCCGAACCACCGTCCTAGCACTACCAACCACCAAGAAGAAGAACAACGACACCGACAGGATAAATCTCGAAAAGCTGATGATGGTAGTGCCCATGGCGAAGCTGTGGCGCGGTACTACTGCGGCCCAAACGGCGGCTCGTCACCGTTTTATCGTAAGGGAGGAGCGGAGGGTACCTATATTTTTCAAACGACCCGATCGAGACTAGGATGGTGGTACCGGACTGGTTCTAAAGTGGAGTTAAATAGAATCGTTACAGTGGGTTAAACGAGATCGCCGTCCGTCTGTCTTGTTTATCTATGTGTTTACGCGATGAAAAACGACTTTGTGGAAAATTTCATTCAGCCTCGAAACCTCCTTCGGTTTGGTTTTTTGTCATTTCCGCCGTTTTTCATACGGGTTGGAATTTTCGTATATGAGAGAAAATCTAATGGGAGAATATTCATGTTAATTCTGTTTATTCGATCACGCTCTCGCTGCAGTTATTAAGTTGCAAAAATTATAATGAAAACCGTCATATGAGAAGCTGTAGTTAGTGAAAATGATATTTTACCATCTTGGTATACTCTGAAATATAATTATTGTATAGTCGGTCCAACAACAAGATCCTTGACAGTGACAGATGTGTCTGTCATTTTAATTTCGAAGTAGTTTATTTTATTTTACAAAGAAATAAGTTATAAAAAAAGTACATATATATATATATATATATATATATATATATATATATATATATATATATATATATATATATATATATATATATATATATATATATATATATATATATATATATATATATATATATATATATATATATATATATATATATATATAAATAAGTACAATTGGAAAGCCTAGCAGAAAATTAATATATTTAAAATTTGACTAACAAGTGATTACTTCAAAATATTGCGAAAAAAATTGTATCAAACTAAAAAAATGTAATCGAGTTATTTTATTAAAAAAAAAATTGGCGCCGGGAGGCACATATAGCCGCCCATACTAAAATATGTTATAAAAGTTGGTAGGCAGTTCTTTTAGTTTCAATTATCTCAAAAACTGCGACTTTGACTGATTTTGATGTTATTAGAAATTTTGTTGCAAATATTACTCCTAATCTTAAAATGAATACCGCGTTTCGCTAGCTGCGGTAATTTTGAAGTTACGATTTTTTAAAATTTTAACCTCCTCCCATACCCCCTTACCAACCCCCCACCCCCACCAAAAACTAATGGTCAGATTCTCGGGTGCCACAGTATTTTTGTGCCAACTTTGGTTAAAATCGGTTTAGCCGTTTTTGAGTTATCGTGTTACAGACAGACGGACAGACGGACAGACGGACAGATAGACAGACAGACACCATGAAAATATTTTGTATTTAGGTCATTTATGACGCAAATAACCCATTTTGAGTGGAATTAGAAAAACTTCATCTTGCCGATCTTAAGAGCCTACGATACCTGTTGGTATGGTAGGCTAAAATTGGTATGTGTTAATATGAAACAAACAGGAACAAAACACCACATACCAAAAAAACTATACAAAAGAACTATTTCTTACTTTCAAGCTTCAAGAAACTTCCCGCATTTATTATTATACCAGCGTGTACCAGCGACTTCGTTTGCGTCGAATTAATCATTTGTAATGGTGATGATAAAGCAAAGCAAGAATTTCCATTAACATACAAACTGGATAAAATTTTCTCACATTTATGTCAGCATGAGAAAAAACAATATGGCGATATTATTATATAACTTGGTAATATATGAGGGGTAGTTTCATCTCGTTGAAATTTGACTTTCAAAAAATCCTTTTGCCAAAAGTAAGCTTTTTACGTCAAGTAGTTTAAGCAGAATCGTGGTAAAGAAATTAGGTACCCAACTTTTTGGAACACCCTGTATGATTTTTTAAAAAAATTCAAAATATGTAAAAAACCAAATAAATTATGCTTGTCCAAGAGTTTTCCCGAAAGACTAACCGTTTTTTAAATAACAAATATTGTAATATTTAAGGGGCGTTTTCACCCGCTTGGAATTTGAGATTCGAGAAACCCCTCCTTATCGAACCTCTACACCCCAGAGTCAATCTGTTTGCTAAAAATCAGCTTTAAACGTCAAGCAGTTTAAGCAGAATAGTGATTACTCAATGGTCATAATAGATCGTGATTAATCAATGACCAGATTTTTCGAAACACCCTGTATACATTTTTAAAAAATCTTAAAATATGTGAAAAAACAAAATAAAATATACGTGTTTAAGCGTTTTTTTGGCAACTTGGCAAAATTTGAGTGGTTGTTTCGCCCCCTTAGAACTGGAATTTCGAAAAATTCCTTCTTATCGAACCTCTACACCCTAGAATCAACCTGTATGCCAAAATTGAGCTTCTTACGTTGTGTGGTTTGAGCAGGATCGTGATTAATCAGTATGTCAGTCACTTAAGGATTTTATATATTAGTATAGATTTATCAATATAACTTATGTACAAATACAAATTTTTAATATTCCACAGGAATAAATAAAACAAACTATCTTATTAATAATAACACTTACCAAATTTTATACCTTAAAGGTTGATTAATTAACTTTAGTCTTAATTTTTTTAAACCAGTTACTGTGGGGCGGTCCTATGACAAAAATTAAAAAACGCGAATCTAATATTTTTTGCTATATTTCATTTTATGTTTATTTTGACATTCGAAACTGTCTCACAAGCGTTATAGATTACCAAACATGATTATCTAGAAGGCTGAGAAAATTAACAAAATAAATGATTTGTTTACTTTAATGCCATAATTGTGTTCCGAATTGATTTGGTGACAAGTTTGTGTATTTCTCACAGAGTCTACTTTTTGTTTTAGGTATGGAAATTCGGAAAATAGGTAAGATAGCTTCATATTTTTTATATTTTAATCAGGGTTCGGCTCAATACATGCTCTAAGAACGGTAAAAAAACAAACTGTTCATTTCGTCGTTTTTTTTTGCAAAATGAGAACCTGTATAGTTTTAAATAGCATCCTTCTCAGTCCTTTTCACGAATTACAGGAATACAAAGATTACGGTTTCCAGTTTTAATCGTTATTAGAATTATATCCTACTTTGTCCAACTTTTTGAGAAATTGCAATTTTAAAAACTTCTTGCAAAAGGATGATTTTAAAACAAAGCTTTTTGAAACATGATTTGAGTGGCTTACCAAGCATTTAACTAATTCCGTGGTCTTCCGGCTGCGAAAAATACTTGGTTAATCATTCTGGCAGATACTGTTCATTTGATTTTTTTTATTTAGGTTCTCGATTTTATGCAGCGTTTAAGAAACAATTTGTGTTGTGTAAAAAATGGCTTCTTCAGTCAGAGCCAAACAGAAATTCAAAGGTTGTGGAAGGTATCAAGAGGTCAATAAATTATGAACAAAAAGAGAATTTGGATTTTGAAAAATTTAGAGAAACCTACACTTTATAATGTTAATTGAATTATTAAATTATAATTAATATATTAATAATCCATATAGTTTTGGTACAGATTCGTTTCGCTTGTTATTAATGTTTATTATAACTAAGTGTACCCGTGTCGTTTTTCTGAGTTAAGTTCATACATTTTTATTTTATAATCATGATATATAAAAATATTATTTACAGATTTCCATTTTTAGAAAGCATTTTTTATTACTTGGATAATTATAAGGTACCCAGTTACATAAAAAAATACACGCCACTGAATTTAAAATAACGAATCAAAATGTTTTGCATAGTAAATACTACTGGCGGATCTTTTCAAAGCTAAATTTGTTCAAATTTTGGATAGAAACTCATATTCACCGATGTGGCGATTTTTGACTAGGTATCTATGGCCGGCGAACCACTGTGCAGTACCTTTTGACATTATTTTTCTGCATTACTAAAAATCATTATTTATATACCTATCGTGTGATGTCGATATTTTACAGCTACTCCAGTTTTTAGTATATGTTTAGTACGATCCCAGCGAGTATTAAACTGTGCTCTGGGTCTACAGTTAATTTTTCCTCGATTTTTCCTCCACTTGACTTCAAAACACAAAACACACGTAATAACACGAATCAAAATGCATCATTTTCCAAAACGCAGAATATTTGACATAAGTTGACACGAAATTATAACCTATATTTTGGCAAGACTTTAACAAACCCGAGGACAAACCTTCAAAATCTAAAGGCGAGTTCATACGCATCCGCGTCCGTTTGTCGTTTATCTTTCCGTCAAACCAATAAAATTGAAATATGACCTGTCATTTTTTAAATAAACCAATAAAAATGGTTAAAAACAACAAGAAATGACGAATAACGGATTTATATTTAAACCCATACATAGTTAACTTTTTTTAAAAATGTTAAGAAACTTTTTTTAGTAAAATAAATAGATTTGCATGGGACGTTTATCTGCTTTTCTCGTGTCATCGTCTGTCGAAATATTACCTGAGAAAAAAAAAACAGAGTATAGTAGCAATACGTATCCGAAAAATTGCTCGAAAACAAATGGTCGAAGGAAAATTTACCTAAAGCATATTACCGAAAGGAAGATTGTCCTAATGGAAAATTGCCCGAACAGATATTTCCCCCCCAAAAAAATTACCAGACCAAACCAGAAAGTTACATGAAAAAAGAAGGTCATTGTTATTGACCAATTTCTTTCAAATTATATTTATTGTGCTTATCATTATTAGAGTATAAACAAGTAGAGTGGCAGTCAAATTTATATTCAGTGAAAAGGAAAAACAGAAACTGATACTCCAGAGTTATTTGTATCAAAAGATAATGGTGAAGAAATAGTTTATTGGAAATATATGACAATTAATATAATATACATTTGTTTAATATTTATGTTCTTGGTTTGGTTTGGCTTTTATTAACTGGTCCGTGTTTAAATGTCCTGTTTTAGAGCAATTTTTTACCAAAGATCGCCATTTCCGGAAGCTTTTATTTCACCCAATTACAATTCGTTAATATTTCTTTTCGGGTAATTTCCTTTTGGCTCAATTGTTTTCGGGCAATTCTTCTTCGGTCAATTGTTAATCGGGGAACTTTTCAATATCCGTTGAAGTATGTTGAATCAATCCATCAAAATTTGGAATTCGTAATCATCTTTAGCCAGCAATTTTC